AAAATGCAAATGTCTTCCAATTCAATATGACTTATGGCTTGATGAAATAGTATCTATAATTGCTCAAGCACAAAGTCATTTAGCAGGGCAATCAATAGAGAAATTATATAAATTAATCCAAGAGGCAAGGCGTATTATTGTTATGGATAATGACCTAACTGATCCAAATATCGAATGGATTAAGGTCCTTCGTAAGGATAAACTATTCTTTATTATTCACAATACTTATCAATCCCAAAAAGATAAGACATTTTACTTGGCTTCTAATAAAGAGACTGTATTAACTGAACTTTGGGATTGGGCCAAGCAGATGTCTTCATTACCTTTTGAAAATTGAACCAGTGCATCACTCATCTGCCACCTCAGAAAGGATGTGCAAGGAATTATTCGTACACTTAAGACCGATTTTCCAGAATTACGGATTAAGGAATATCATGGCAAGTCTGATCCAGTGGAAAAGACTCATGACTTCAGCAATGTAGAAGAATCATGGAAAGACGTAGACCTAGTTGCCTATACTAGTACTCTAAAGATAAGAGTGTCTTGCACTAATCCTAAGTTTGAACGGGCATTCTGTCTCTTTAATAGCTATATAGAAACAAACGCAGGAACAAATCAGATGTTATTCCGCATGCGGTGCATTAAAGATTATATATGTCATATTGAGCAAAGATCTTCTAATGTTCCCATCACAGAAAAGGGGTTATTCCAGTGGTTATTAAATGCTAAACGTGAATGTCTCCCCCGAGAACTTCAGAATAGAGGAATTTTTCCAGATATAAACTCTATCATTCAGAATAAGGATGTACCGACTGTTCGATTATGGGTGGCCTATATGTTAGAAAAATTCCGTTCCTAGCGCTTATTTGGTTGGAGAATGGTCAATTTTCTCAGAGAGGCAGGTATGATAATTTCCATCATAGAACCCATTCCTAAGTCTGAAGAAAACATTGCATCATTATCTCAAGTCGTGAAGGCGAATTCCTCTATTGTTAAAGCAGAGGAGATATCAGATGTATCTAATGCTACTATTGTCGATCGTGAAACTGCTGAATTTCTAGAGAACAAACCAAGAAAAACTTTACAAGAAATGCGATCTCTAGACCGGCACCATATCGTGAAATGTTATGAGATTTTACCTGAATTATTGACCGAAAATTTCATTTCGAAGTATGGGGATTTTAATCATATGAGATGGTTCAGAACTCATAGGCAGTTACGAGATGCTGGTACTAACAATGAAACGGCTGTTGAGGCTATCACTCGCAAAGATTATAGGGGTGATAAACTTGCCGTAGCCACTCGAGCTGAGAGACATCGAATTTGTCTGGAATTATTAAGAATCTGTACACCTGCTAAAGACATTAACGATAGGACACGATATAAAGCTGATGATGTTAAAGCGTGTATGGATTCTCCGGAATCAATATCATATCTCCAGGGTTTAGTGCCTAAAATGGCTCGAGTATTTGACAATACAGATGTATCGCGTAGTGCTAAAAAATCAGGATTAAAAACAATCCGAGCGAAACTTGGATTGCTAAATTCAGCTTTATACGCAACATATGGGTTGAAGTTCAAAGCTATCAATAATAAACACGCATATTATCACTTGGTTGGTTCATTTGATAGTGAGAATTCTCCCAAATTACCTTCGTATCAAACAGGGGAGGAGGTGTATTGGGATAATGGAAAAGATATCCGATATGCTTATAGTAAACTTACTTCCGATGAATTGTTAATAAATACATCTCTTGATTCTAGCAAAGTGAATAATGAGCAAATCGCAGATTATTCAGAATTTATTTGATATATGTTAATACATGTATTATTCGAATATAGATCTATTGTAAAGTGATATTATTTATACTATCGGTTAGGCAGTGTTGCCAAAGAAAGTAAATCTCGTCTCAGACATACGTTATCAATATACGCAACGGTTATGAGGCCTGAAGACCAATGCTGAATTGTCTGAGGGATTTTTTACCAATACTGTTGTTAGGGTATTCTTCTTCCAATTTTTATATAATAATTACGAAGAAGAATACCCTAACTATACCTATCAAATGTGTTATCCAACCCAAAGTTCATTAATAGATATCTCACTCCTCGGCAGATAATTCAGAGATCTTTGCCTGTTGAAGGGTCTCAACCCCATACTTCTTTCTCATCCGATAATTTAGCGAATGAAATCTACCCGAATGATCGGGACAACACCCTGTAGTAGAAATAGTATATCTACAACAACTAATAACAAGGCAGGGTTTTTTTTCTATATTTTTTTCATACAATTTCCAGTGTCTATAGCACCCGGTGGAGTCACAGCAC